ATCACAAGGCATTCAGGAGAATACCTTAATACAGGACCTTTAGGGAAGTCCCCCTTCTAACAGAATACTTCCTCATTTTCCAGCCGAATTCGGGATTAGTCGGTATATCACCTAAATTTTATTAGAATTAAATTATTTCCTTTCTCTGATGCCACATCCATGTATTCCGTATTTCTGTCACTTGGCCTTCATTCAGATTAGAATTTAGTTAAGCCACAATGTGACCTTGCCGAATCTAAAATTTTATTTTACTTTCCTTCATTTTTTTACTATTAGATTTATTTTTGTAACTACTTGAAAACCACCAACAGTTTGGAATTTCTAATTATTATTTGAATAAGTGGCTGCATGGATGACTGACTAACTCTCCTCACATTGAATGCTTAGAATTAAAAATACATTTTCAAATTTTAATATGAAAACCACGTTTTCAAATATATTTTCATAATTTTTGTTTTGTTGTTGTAGTAAACAATTAGCTAGCTGATGTTAAAATGAATCACTCACTTCGGCATTTTGAAACCCAACTAAGAGTTTTGTTGTTTTGAAAAAAAAAAAATAAAAAAAGTACTTGGCGATAACAGAACGAAGGAACATAGCTTAATATGTAGATGTGTAGTATTCAATACAGGGCGTTCTGGATAATCGAAATGTTTATAAAGAAGATTAGCCCCCAATCAAGGATTTTTTATATAAAAATTAAAGGCTACAGAAATTATTTTTCTATAGAAAATAATTCGTCGGAACCTCTGCTCCAAGTTTTTTCTATAGAAAAGCTCATATTGCATATAGACTATCTTCACTTCGCATAGAGAGACACCCTTCAGCCCATCCATTCACCACACCTTCAACTCGTCTAAAAAGTCTGCCTAAACCTTGGAATTATCTTTATAGAATTTGCATCAATTCGTCCATAAAGACTCCTTGGCCTATCGGTCGATATATAGAGAATCAGTGATTCACCTCGCCTTTAAAGCTTTCCATCTATATTTCGTCTAGCCAAATTCTGTGACCCTCTCTTCCCTCTGTTATACCTTATAAAAATTCCTTACTATCTCCTATAAATATCTAATCTGTAAGGAACCTTTCTTAACCTGGTATATTAAGACTCCCAACTTCGGTTCTTCTTTAAAGAGTATCTTCTGTTAGGTTTGCTTTCTATTTGTTTTTTTCACGTTTCTGTGAACTTTTTCTTAATTTTATGAACTCTTTGAAAATATATAAGAACTCTTCATTACTTCTAAAACCCATTTTAGGAACAATTCATTTTTTTAAATAAGACAAATTTCAAGATTATGTAACATTTATTAAATCTAGGAAATTTTTATTATTCCGGAACTCTTTAAAAAAATTTATGAACTTTTTTACTTCTCTCAATGAACCATTTTCTGTTTTTATGAATGGGGGCTACCAGAAAACGTGAGCCGGTATTTATAATTTTTAGTAGAGATATTTGGTACCCAATAAGAACCTAATGTACCAAATTGCAGAGAATACGGTTGAAAAGCGCGCTCGAGAACCTCAAAATACCGAAAATTGGATATCCGAAAAAATTTACCTATATTTATAATTTTTTGTGGAGAGATTTGGTACCTACTAAGAACTCAAAATACTAAATTATAGCCAATTCGATGGAAAAATATGATAAAAAAAACCCAAAAATACTGAAAATTAGGAGGTACCGTTATATGGGGGCTACAAGAAAAATGTTCTTTATCTTTATGAAACATTTTCCGATTTTATGAAAAAATGTTGTTCTATGAATTATTCATAAGATTTAGGAAAATTTCAATTGGAAAATCCATTGGCCGTTTTATAAGGCCAATGGATTTTCGAAAGTTTGCTATTTATCCATGAACAATTCGCTGTTTTTCAGAACAAGTAATGTTCTATGAACTATTTAACAGTTTTGTGAACAGTTTCCTTATCTCTATGAACCGCTCATTGGTTTTTATGAAACGTTTTGGATTCTAGGAACTATACATTGATTTTAGGAACAAAGAAAGAGCTTACATCAACCAATCAATTTATTAATGAACCGTACACAGGATTTTCGGAACATTCAATAATTTTCATGAAGTAATCGATAATTCTATAAATTAACCAAAGGCTCCACAAATTATTGCTGGGCTTAGATTCATTCTGGTTCTAGCCATCATTGTTTTCATGAAATATGAATTGTATATGGGAGAGAAAGAGCTTCTTGCATTCTAGAACCTATTCATTAATCCTAGTAACAATTGATTTTAATGTACTATGTACTACTTAATAGTTTTAGGAACAGTTTCCCTATTTCTATGAACCATTTAAAACTTTTATGCATTAATTTTATGGTGATTTAGTAAAGTAGACAACTTATGAAGAATTCAATGGATTTTCAGAACTTTTAATAATATTTGTTTATGAAGCATTTTTTTATTTCTATGACAGAATCAATAAAGCTATTAATAATTTCTGTGTTGTTCTATGAATCAATTTCATATTTTTAGGAGCATTTTCCTTATATCTATGAACAATGAACTGTTATTTATGAAACCTCTTTTGATTCAAGGAAGTATGCATTGATTTAAGGAACTAGAACCTATTTATTAATCCTAGTAACAATTACATTTAATGTACTATGAACTATTTAATGGTTTTAGGACTAGTTTCACTATTTCTATGAACAATTTAAAACCTTTATGAACATTTTTGTTTTATTCTAGGAACTATACATTAATTTTATGATGAATTCTATAGCTTCAGTAAAGTAGACAATTTATGAACCATTCAATGGATTTTCAGAACTTTTAATAATATTTGTTTATGAAGCATTTTTTTATTTCTATGACAGATTCAAAAAAGCAATTAATAATTTCTTTATTGTTCTATGAATTAATTTCATATTTTTAGGAGCAGTTTCCTTATATATCAATGAACAATGAATTGTTATATATGAAACGTCTTTTGATTCAAGGAAGTATGCATTGATTTAAGGAACTAGAACCTATTCATTAATCCTAGTAACAATTGATTTTAATGTACTATGAACTATTTAATGGTTTTAGGAACAGTTTCCCTATTTCTATGAACAATTTACCACTTTTATGAACATTTTGGTTTTATTCTAGGAACTATACATTCATTTTATTATGAATTCTGTAGCTTCAGTAAAATAGGCACTTTATGAACCATTCAATGGATTTTCATAAATTTTAATAATATTTGTTTATGAAGCATTTTTTATTTCTATGACAGACTCAATAAAGCTATGAATAATTTCTTTATTGTTCTATGAATCAATTTCATATTTTTAGGAGCATTTTCCTTATATCTATGAACAATGAACTGTTATTTATGAAACCTCTTTTGATTCAAGATTTTTTTTAATTGTTCTATGAAGTAATTTCATATTTTTAGGAGCAGTTTTCTTATATCTATGAACAATGAACTTATGAAACCTCTTTTGATTCAAGGAACAATGTATAGATTTTGGGAACAATACCTATTAATTGTACCTTAATGGTATTGAATTGTAATGGTGCTTCCATGAATTATTCGATACTTCTATATGCTAGTCAATGGCTCCGAGAACCCTTAGTAGCCTCTCATTGTTATTATTTTGAACCATTCATTGTTTCTATGAACAATGTATTGCCAACAAGAGCTATTCATTAATTCTATGACGGATTTATTAAAGATGGGAACAATAGATTTTAATATTCTGGTTTATGAAGTATTTTTTAGTTGTTAGGAAATATGCATAGATTTTATGAACAATTCAATACCTCCAAGAAAGTAATACATTGAAAGCATGAAAAAGGGAAGCTTTCAGTTATTTTAATGGTACATCTATTAGTTTCTTTTAGTATTCGGTGCTTTACTGGACTTGTCATTGATTTTACGCAGCATTTTTGATTTTGTGAACCATTCATTGAGCTATGAACATCGTCATTGTTTTTATGAACCATTCATTGGTTCTATGAACCATTCATTGGTTTCTATGTACCATTAGTTAGTTCTGTGAATCATACCTTGATTCTATAAATAATTTTTCAGTGCTTCTATGAACCCTTCTTTGCTTTTATGAACCATTTGTTGATCTTATGGATCATACATTAGATCTCTCAAATATTAATTAGTTCTATGAACGATTCATTAATTCTAAAACCCATTCACTGGTTTTATTCAACTTTCATGGATTCTATGAACTATTTTTTTTTTCATTTATAATTCCTATAAATCAAGGATCGTCAAGATCCCAAGCAATGCAGTAGGTCAAGATTTTTTCAATGCTGAAAATCTGAACTAGTCATCAATTCTAGGTAACAATTTTGGTTCTAGGAAACATTCATTGGTTTTATGAACTATTCATTGGTTATATGAATCATTCGTTGATTCTACGAACCATTCATTGGTTCTATGAATCATTCATAGTTATGTATGAAACATTAATTAGTTATGTAAAACATTCTTTAGTTCTATGAACCATTCATTGATTTTAAGAACCGGTACTATGAACCGTTCATTGGTTCTATGAATCATTCATTAGATTTTTCGACAATTCGTTAGTCCAATAAAAATATCTTCATGTCCTTAAAACTTGTGTTTCGTTCATTGGTTCTATAATCTAAACTATTGTATATACATAGGAACTATTAACTGGTTCTATGAACTATTCATTAATTCTAGAACCCAGTCACTGACTTTATGAACAAATCATTCATTCTAAGAAACATATTATTGTCTTGGCCCTTTTTGTTTGTTTTGCTTTATTTTTTCTTTTAAAGCATTCATAAATCAGTCACTTGTCTTTCATTGGTTTTATGAAACTTACATTGTTTTCATGAATCATTCATAGTTTTTTCATTACATTTATGAACCATTCATTGTATTTATGAACCAGTTTATTGTTTAGATATGTCTTAAGATTTTTGTTCTATTCAATATTTTTCGTAACTAAACTATTTCCCCCGCATTCTAATCTTTCTCTCTTTTTCTCCCTCTCTCTCCATTTCCAGTGATTTCCAATACGAAGAAGTGCCACCAGAGGAACAAAGCGATTCCGATACTCTGGTGAATTCAGCACCATTGGCTGAATTAAAAGAAATACCAGCAGATCCCAATTTTGACGACGACGACGACCAAGGAGGAGAAGAGGCGACACAGCTTCAAAAAATGGAAGCAACAACGACAGCAACTGCTCCAAATGGAGCCGAAACAAATACCGATACTACAGTGGCCAAACCATCATCCGCCGAAGATAGCATTTTCTCTACAATGTATGCTGTAGCCAAGAAGGTTGCTATTGTAGGCTCCATTTATCTTGTGGGCTATATGGGTTGGTCTGTAGCATGGCTTATTGCTCCCGTTGTTCTCTCTGTGGCTCGTGATCGTTTTCGCAAAAGTACCGAACACAAGCGAAGCATTGCGAAGGCATCGGCCTTGGCCTCAGAGAAGGAAGTTATTATGGCGCGCATTGATGAGTTGCCAGCTTGGGTAAGTGGTCGGGAAGTTACAAATTGAGAAAACCCATTACAAATATTTTGTTCTTTAGGTTTATTTTCCCGATGTAGAACGCTGTGAGTGGGTAAATAAGGTAAGTGACCCGTTTACTTTATTTTGGGGACTTTTATTTAAATTATTTTCTGCCTGCAGATTCTCAAACACCTTTGGCCCAATGCCAATCATTATGCCCGCACTTTGGTCAAGGAAACGATTGAACCCGCCGTGGCCGAATCTTTGGCCAATTACAAAATGAACGGCTTCCGTTTTGATCGCATTATTTTGGGTACCATCCCACCTCGGATTGGTGGCGTCAAGGTGTATACCCAAAATATTGGACGCAATGAAATTATTATGGATCTCGATCTCTTCTATGCCAGTGACTGTGATATTAATTTCTATTTGGGCGGTATGAAGGGTGGTATTAAAGATTTCCAAATCCATGGTTGGGTGCGTGTGGTTATGAAACCCTTGATCCGTAGCATGCCCTTGGTTGGTGGTTTGCAGATTTTCTTTTTGAATAATCCAAATATTGATTTTAATTTGGTTGGTGTCATCGATCTTTTGGATATGCCTGGTTTGAGTGATTTGTTGAGAAGGATTATTGTGGAACAGATTGGTAATATAATGGTGTTGCCGAACAAGTTGCCGATAACTTTGAGTGATGAAGTGCCAGCGACTTCATTGAAAATGCCTGAACCTGAGGTGAGTTTTGAATATGATTGAAGGGGATTATTTGTTTTTATGGGTACTGGGAACAGAACAAGCATCGAAGATTGAAAAGGGTAATGTTTTAATCGTAATCTTTTCTAAAGTTCGTAGCCGACCTATGTTGGGAAAATGGGAAACGGATTATCAAGATCCCAAGCAATGCAGTAGGTCAAGATTTTTTCAATGTGACTACAACCCGAAGTAGTTGCTAGAATACCCATATTTATAAACTTTTCAAATCCGATCTATCTAAGAATCAGCTTACCAATGATATGTTTCTAAAGAAAAATCGGAATTTTCTACAGAAAAATATTCACAAAATATTTTATAGAGAAAAAAATTCACGACGGATTTTTTTCTATAGAAAATATTCACTACAGAATTTTTGCACGAATTTTTTTTATAGAAAAATATTTATTTCGAATTTTTTTTTATAGAAAAATATTCACCTAGAATTTTTTCTATAGAAAAATATTCACCGCTAATTATTTCTATAGAAAAATATTTACCATCTACTTTTTTCCATAGACCACCTTATTTTTCTATATATAAATATTCACCACCGAATTTTTTCTATAGAAAAATATTCACCACCGAATTTTTTCTATAGAAAAATATTCACCACCGAATTTTTTCTATAGAAAAATATTCACCACCGAATTTTTTCTATAGAAAAATATTCACCACCGAATTTTTTCTATAGAAAAATATTCACCACCGAATTTTTTCTATAGAAAAATATTCACCACCGAATTTTTTCTATAGAAAAATATTCACCACCGAATTTTTTCTATAGAAAAATATTCACCACCGAATTTTTTGCTATAGAAAAATATTCACTACCCATTTTTTTTTGATAAATATTTACCAGCAATTGTTTTTCTATGGGAAAATATTCGCCATCGTTCAGTGGTGAACATTTTTCTATAGAAAAAATTTAGTGGTGAACATATTTCTATAGAAAAAGTTCAGTGGAGAAAATTTTTCTATAGAAAAAATTCAGTAGTAAACTTTTTTTTACAGAAAAAGTTCAGTGGTGAACATTTTTCTATAGAAAAAGTTCAGTGGTGAACATTTTTCCATAGAAAAAGTTCAGTGGTGAACATTTTTCTATAGAAAAAGTTCAGTGGTGAACATTTTTCTATAGAGAAAAAGTTCAGTGGTGAACATTTTTCTATAGAAAAAGTTCAGTGGTGAACATTTTTCTATAGAAAAAGTTCAGTGGTGAACATTTTTCTATAGAAAAAGTTCAGTGGTGAACATTTTTCTATAGAAAAAGTTCAGTGGTGAACATTTTTCTATAGAAAAAGTTCAGTGGTGAACATTTTTCTATAGAAAAAGTTCAGTGGTGAACATTTTTCTATAGAAAAAGTTCAGTGGTGAACATTTTTTCTATAGAAAAAGTTCAGTGGTGAACATTTTTTCTATAGAAAAAGTTCAGTGGTGAACATTTTTCTATAGAAAAAGTTCAGTGGTGAACATTTTTCTATGGAAAAAGTTCAGTGGTGAACATTTTTTCTATGGAAAAAGTTCAGTGGTGAACATTTTTCTATAGAAAAAGTTCAGTGTTGAACATTTTTTCTGTAGAAAAAGTTTAGTGGTGAACCTTTTTTCTATAGAAAAAGTTCAGTGGTGAACATTTTTTCTATAGAAAAAGTTCAGTGGTGAACATTTTTCTATAGAAAAAGTTCAGTGGTGAACATTTTTCTATAGAAAAAGTTCAGTGGTGAACATTTTTCTATAGAAAAAGTTCAGTGTTGAACATTTTTCTATAGAAAAAGTTCAGTGGTGAACATTTTTCCATAGAAAAAATTCAGTGGTGAACATTTTTCCATAGAAAAAATTCAGTGGTGAACATATTTTTTACAGAAAAAAATCAGTGGTGAATAATTTTTTACGGAAAAAAATTAAAAAAATATTGGTGAATATTTTCTCATAGAAAAAATTATTAGCTTCTCTTTAGCATTTGCCTCTTATTGTAGAAATATTCTCGCAGTGTAATTGTAGAAACGGCTATTGAAATATAAACCCTCCGAAACCACCCCTAATTATTATTTTTTTCTAATATTTATTTTTTGTACTCCTCCCCAGGGTGTTCTACGCATCCATGTCGTCGAAGCCAAGGATCTGATGAAAAAGGATATCAGCATGTTGGGCAAGGGTAAATCCGATCCCTATGCCATCATCAATGTGGGCTCTCAGGAATTCAAGACACAAATTATTGACAATAATGTCAATCCCAAATGGGACTTCTGGTGTGAGGTAAGTTAAAAAATTTCCGCAATATTGCATACCGCGCCCTCCCTCAACAAAAAAGAGCATTGTGTACAAGAATTAAATTTCCCAAAAAAAAAAATATTGGCCAAAAGACGTTTTTTATTAAAAAAATATAAACTAAAATTCAAATTTTGTTTCGTTTTGTTAAGCACTTACACTGTTCTAGAATTTTTTTCAAAATTTTAAATTTTCTTTACAATTTTATTTCCATGTAGTCTGAATTATTATATAGTCCATAGTCCGAAATGCATGCTCTTTGTTATTTTGTTACTTTATTTCTTGTTTTTGTTAATTTTGTTTTTTGTTGTTTGTTTTTTTCTTTCTTTTGTATATATTTTCAAAAAAATATATATTTTTCATTATGAAAATGTGCTATTCTATGAAAACATCTCTGCTTCCTCTATGACCAAATCAAAAAAAAATTACACACCAAAATTTTGTGTTCCACTCTTCACACACGAATCTAAACCAAAAAAAACAAAGGCGAAAATATTTGCCGAAATGGGTCAATTTGTTGAATTCAATTTATTCGATGCTGATGAAACGGGCAAAGATGAAGAGTTGGGAAGGTAAGTCGAAAAAAAAAATAATAAAAAAACATTATCAGAAAAAAATCACAAAAATAAAACCACAAAAACCTATTGGAATAATGAATGAAAACATAATGCAGGCTTTGAGATATGGAACGAAGCGAAGCATGAAGCCGAAGAATCCAAAAGAGTGAAAATAAGTGTATCCTCAATTGCATTACTTTCCTTAGGGTCAAGAGCAATTGAAGAACCTAGTGAATCCATATCAAATATCGCTTTAGGCTTTAAACACATTGAAGGCGTCATTTTTCGCTTTGGATGGAATGCTTAATTAATTATTTAAATGTATTTTTCCTCAAAATTAAATATCACAAAACTAGTTCCTTTGCTGGAACTAGTGAATCAAAAAAATGAAACTAATTAGATCTTCGTGTGAGGCCAATTATTATTTTCCAAGCCTAACTCAAAGCCTGCATTATGTTTCCACTTTAAGCGACACAAACAATCAACTTTTTTTAATCTGGGAAAATCGTAAAAAAAATTATTTTTTGTTATCAACAATTTAATATTATTATTTGTCATTAACAACCAAAAAATCTGAAGTGAGTAGTAGTCCTTGAAAAAATATCAGTTTCTTATAATCGCATGTTTGCAGGCTTCGCTTACTAACCACAAACAAAAAAACATGCTTCAAATCAAAAAAAGAAAAAATTCCACCAAAATCTATAGCTTTAAAACTCAAACATTTTTTTATAAAAAATCGAATAATTTTTCTTTAGGCCTTTGTTAACTCACCCGTGGGCCAGGAGGTGTTTTTCGATTTATGGGATAGTGATCCAGGTCCACAAGTCGACGATTCTTTGGGCAGGTTGTGTAAATAACACCCCAACAACTAATTTTTGTTCACTAACCCCAAGGCGTTTAACTCACAAAAGTTCGATTTCGGAACGTTTGGTTTCCCTTTTTTGCAACGGCCCAAATTTGTTTGCATGATTAATAAAAATTATTGGCTAACTAACATCGGCGTGTAAACCCTTTGTGATTCAATGAATTACAATTTAGTAAAGACGTGCCGTAACCAACATAACGTACATTTTTTTATTTTTTTGAGAAATATTCAACAATAATTTTGTCTATAGGAAAATATTCAGCAATGATTTTTTCATAGAATTTTTTATAAAGAAAAATATTCACCACTGAATTGGTTCTATAGAAAAATATTCACCAATAAGATTTGTTTCTATAGAAAACATTTACCAATGATTTTTTTCTATAGAAAAATATTCATCACCGATTTTTTTCTATAGAAAAGTTTTCAACAATGATTTTTTTCTATAGAAAAATATTCACCACCGAATTTTTTCTATAGAAACATATTCACCAATGAATTTTTTCTATCGAAAAATATTCACCAATGATTTTTTTCTATCGAAAAATATTCGCCTAAAATATTTTCTATAGAAAAATATTCACCAATGAATTTTTTTTTATCGAAAATATATTCTACCAATAAATTTTTTTCTTTATGGAAAAATATCCATTATTCACCACCGATTTTTTTCTGTAGAAAAATTTTCACCAATAAGGTTTTTTTTCTATAGAAAAAATATTCACCACCGATTTTTTTTTCTATAGAAAAAATATTCACCACCGATTTTTTCTATAGAAAAAATATTCACCACCGATTTTTTTCCAGAAAAAAATTGCGTTGGGGAATAATTGTCTATAGAAAAAAATTGCGTTGGGGAATATTTTTCTATAGAAAAAAATTGCGTTGGGAAATATTTCCTATAGAAAATAATTGCGGTTTTTTTCTAAAGAAATATTTTTTTTCATAGAAAATAATTGCGGTTTTTTTCTATAGAAATATTTTCTATAGAAAATAATTGCGGTTGGAAATATTTTCTATAGAAAATAATTGCGGTGGGAAATATTTTCTATAGAAAATAATTGCGGTGGGAAATATTTTCTATAGAAAATAATTGCGGTGGGAAATATTTTCTATAGAAAATAATTGCGGTGGGAAATATTTTCTATAGAAAATAATTGCGGTGGGAAATATTTTTCTATAGAAAAAAATTGGGTTGGAGAATATTTTTCTATAGAAAAAAATTGCGTTGCGGAATATTTTTCTATAGAAAAAAATTGCGTTGCGGAATATTTTTCTATAGAAAAAAATTGCGTTGCGGAATATTTTTCTATAGAATAAAATTGCGTTGGGGAATATTTTTTTATACAAACATTTGCAGTAGGGAATATTTTCTATAAAAAAAATTGGGCCAAATATTTTTTTATAGAAAAAAATTGCGGTGGAAAATATTTTTCTATAGAAAAAAATTGCGTTGGGGAATATTTTTCTATAGAAAATAATTGCGGTGGGAAATATGTTTTCTATAGAAAAAAATTGCGGTGGGAAATATTTTTTCTATAGAAAAAAATTGCGGTGGGAAATATTTTTTCTATAGAAAAAAATTGCGTTGGAGAATATTTTTCTATAGAATAAAATTGCGTTGGGGAATATTTTTCTATAGAAAAAAATTGCGTTGGGGAATATTTTTCTATAGAAAAAAATTGCGTTAGGGGAATATATAAAAAATGGTGGGGTGGAATATTTTTCTACAAAAAAATCTGTGGGGAATATTTTTCTATAGAAAAAAATTGAAGAGAAAAATATTTTTCTATAGAAAAAATTCAGTGTGGAATATTTTTCTATAGAAAAAATCAGTAAGGAATATGTTTCTATAGAAAAAAAATTAGTGGGGAATATTTTTCTATAGAAAGAATTAAGTGGGGAGAATTTTTCTACAGAAAGCATTCGTTGGGGAATATTTTTCTATAGAAAAAACTAGGGAGAGAATAATTTTTCTATAGAAAAAAACTCGGTAGGGAATATATAGAAACTATAGAAACAAATTCGTTGGCGGAATATTTTTCTGTAGAAAAAAATCCCTTAGGGAAGATTTTTCTATAGAAAAAAATTCGTTGGGCGAGATTTTTCTATAGAAAAAAATCAGTGGGGAATATTTTTCTACAGAAAAAACCACGGTAGGGAATATTTTTCTATAGAAAAAACCTCGGTAGGGAATATTTCTCTATAGAGACAAATTCGGTGGCGGAATATTTTTCTGTAGGAAAAAAATCGTTAGGAAAGATTTTTCTATAGAAAAAAATCGTTGGTCGAGATTTTTCTATAGAAAAAAATCAGTATGGTAATACTTTGATACAGAGAAAAATTCAGTGGGGGAATATTTTTCTATAGGAAAAATTCGGTTAATATTTTCCTAATATTAAAATAAAATTTTTTAAAATACTATCTTCCATTTCTATGCATAAAATTTCCGATTTTCTGTATAACTACGATCCTCCAAATATTTTACCTCTTCTCTGTTACGATACGTCTTTCACTAATTTCTCTAAAATTCTACCTGTTTCGTTTTCTCCCTGTGTCGTTTTCTCTATAAACATAATGGGGGAACTCCCTCTCTCTCTCTCTGTGTGTCCCACTCGCCGTTTAAACTCTACACTTAAAAAAATTATAGCTTGTCGCATGTTTAATTCAAAATTATCTAGCTCTTAAACTTGGCCTACACTATTATCAACTCAATAATAATTGTCGTCCATTGTCTGCACCACAGCCTGGCATGTTATGTCTCTATTTTCTCTCTTTATGCACTCTATGCATTCAAATACAAAAATATTAATTAAACAAATGTGTATCTTCATATTTATCATGATCGGATTATTATGAATGTAATTGGTCGTCCTTTGTCCTCACTGGAAAATAGTTTGCACATTTCCGTCTGTCATTATTTGTTTCATAATTAAATTGTGGTGTGTAAAACTCAAAAATTAAATGAAATATTCAAAATTTATTACGAAATCACTGTATCTCATTAAATGTGTGTTCTCTATCTCTCTATTGTGTTTCTGTTCACTCAAAAATCTCTCCAATGCAAATCGTTTTAAATTATTTCCTTTGAAAGGCTGCGGTGGAAGTTACTCAGCACAGCGTCATCAGTTATCGTTTATTTGATTGGGATCGCACCGGTGACGATGAATCCTTGGGAAGGTGAAGGCTATATTTTTCTTTGTTCAGAAATCTCTTTTTATGTCTTTCAAATAATATCGAATCTGTCATTAGACTTTAGATGATTATTTAGATTTTATTATGATTATCTTTTTAATTTGTAGAAATCTATTAGAAATTGAATTTTTATTATCTTTTTCTTCTCATACTAGAAGTGCATGACTATATCTGACATATATCAAAATTAAATGTATAATAACGATATAAAAAATAAGTCGACGTTCTACATTGAAATTGTTCAACAATTTCTCCTCAAAGAGATCCCTAAGATAACTTAATCTTAGTGATTGTGTGATTGTGAATTGGTAGTACTCACAAAGTTCCAGATTAATTTGTCTCGCTATTTATTTTGAAGCATATATATATATATATATATATTCGAACTTAATCCGTACTTGCATAGGGGTATTACCAGGATGTCATTAAAAAATCGCGAAATTTATGGAGTTAGAGCATACAAATGTTTAGATTCTATTTAATCCCCTTGAAGATCTCGAATCGATACCTGATCACCTATTCTAGTTCTATTTTAAATGTAGTGATTTTGGGGAGACTTGTCTAATTTTACATAAACTAACTTTCTTATGAATAATATACGCGGAGGGGTTTCAGCAGATCAGAGAAAGTGTTGAAGACGCCATTACGAAGTCGCAAGATCATGGTTAAACCAGTAAGGAAAGTAGCAAAGTCGGACTGGGCCGACTATATGATACCCTTGACAATCAGACACCCGTTCGAAATATATATGGTACGTTATGCAAAATTTCCTGTCAATCGGACAAACATTAGTTTGTCATTTGGTGCACCATTTACTAAAAATATATATTTGGGACCTATGTCTAAATCTGAACCGACACACCTCATTCTAGACTCAATGTAGTACGCTATGTCAAACATGGTGGAAATCGAAAGGTATATAGGGATTTAGGTGCAACATTAACATTAAATCGGA